ACTTAAGGAGAGAGTAAAATAAACATGAGTATCTAATAATAAACTTTCAAACTTCATTTATTAGGAAATAATCAACTACCTGCATCACATGTTTCACAACAACTTGATAAGCCATATATGCATTTAGCGAGCAGTGACTATGGAGCACAGGGGCAAGCAAGATTCATTCTTCATTCAAATCGTTAATTGTCATGATGCTAGAGACTTGAATGTGCCTCTTAATATTCTCTATTTATGTCATGCAGGATAATTTGACTCACCTTTAACGCCTTACTTTAGCAAAATTGATGCTTGATGTTTCTATGTAAGTTACAACCTCAAATGTTCGCCACTAAAGAAGGATTAGAGTTGTTCCCTTCTAAATAATTTAAATGTGAAGGTGGTAACTTTTAAAAGAAAAGTTCGGAATTGAAAATAAATGCTTAAGCATGCCTTGAGACCTAGGCATTGGTAATTGGAAGAGATTTATACTTACATCAGGGTTTTAATGAAAAGAAGTTGATGAAAACACTATTCTTAATATAAAAAAGGGGTGGTAGAAATACTTTTTTTTAAAAATAATAAATATTAGAACTAGCTCTATTAATCTTTTTGATAGCAAGTCATCAAAAAAATATAATCAAGGAACTAAATGTATGCCAAATATATTGATTCACCCAAATGAAAGACAAAAACATGCACTCGCATAGGGCCTAGTAACTTTCACCCAAAGATTAGTCACACTCGCCCAAGGCTCGTCAGCATTTCCCCAATCAAAATAAACATCATAGCACAACATGTGTCCATGTTGGATATGCCAATTACATGAAGTAACTTCCCGAATTTGAAGGACATGTCCATGTTGGATATGTCAATTACATGAAGTAACTTCCCGAATTTGAAGGACACACCAATGATTTCAATGTGTACCAATTCAAGCCACACCAATGCTTTCTATGTGTACCAATTCAAGCCTTCGATTATAACTTACATGTTGTATTTATTCTTCTTATTCATATTTTTTTTTGTGTGGCTTTTCCATTTAGTCCAAAAATCCTATAAATATGGTGTCAAGAAATGAAAACACCTAGAGCTCCATGTAAAGCTCCCCTTCTCTCCTCTTTACCTCTATATTTTGTCTCTTTATAGATATCTAGTAAGATATCTTGGATTATAGGAGATCTGATTCTATTATTTTTATTTTATTTTATTTTATTTTTGCTATGGAGTGATAAGATAACAACATAAAATAAATCTTTGAAATAAATGCATTTATTTAAGAACCAACCATTCATTATATCCTATGAAACGAGAAATTATTGTATCAAGACATCTGATACAAATTTCAATCAGATGTCTAATAGTAAAGAATCACGTGATAATTTGGGCTCTTAAATACGAAAAATTATTTCATCGATCCTGACTTTAAATCAGGTGATATACAAAAAATTATTCCATTGATCCTGACTTTAAATCAGGTCATTTACGGTCAGGATGTATTCCAGTGGACCCCACTTATTTTTTTTTTAAATTGAAATATATCCTGATTATAGATCAACGTGATCTACGATTAGGATCGGACATGCATGCAGTTGGTAATTTCTCCTTAAATACGGTTGGGACAGTGCTGACACGCTACCTGTGATACTAAATTGAAATATATCCTGATCATAGATCAACGTGATCTATGATTAGGATCGGAATAATTGGTAGGCAATAATTTCTCCTTAAAAACGGTTGGGACAGTGCTGACACGCTACCTGTGATACAATAATTTTTCCCGGGAAGGAGCGCGTTTGCTTATATGTTTGAACAAAAGCACGGCCATCAGTATATCACAGTTAACCAGCTACGTGGAAGCAGCAACGCCCGTGCAAATGTCTACAAAAAATGGCAATTCGATCTTCATTCTTCTTCAGGCAGCAAAGTTTTCACTGACTGTGAAAGAAGAAGCAGAGAAGAAGACGAAGCAGTAGCTATTCTTAACTAGAACGGCATCCCCATACCGATTCTACTCTACTCCAAGAGGTATTCCTCTTCTCCAGCGGCCAAATTTTGGAGGTTTTCGACCTCCCTCTCGGCCTTTTGCTTCCATGGAGTCATCTTCGTCGCTGAATGCTATAATCTGGTTCCGCAAAGGCCTGCGGATTCACGATAATCCGGCATTGGAGCTTGCGCGGATGGAATCGAAGCATCTATTTCCTGTTTTCGTACTCGATCCTTATTACGTCGATCCGGATGGCTTAGCTTCCTCCCCGGGATCCGCTAGGGCTGGCATTAATCGGATTCAGTTCCTTCTCGAAAGCCTGGTGGATCTCGATAGCGGACTCAGGAGGCTTGGATCTCGGCTCCTTGTGCTTAAAGGAGAGCCGGTGCAGGTCATGGCCAGGCTCCTGAAGGACGTGAGCTTCTTCTAGACCTCTAGTCGTTCAATCTCTGTCTTGCCTCTATCTTAATAATGAAAATGCTATGTTTTGATTTTGGGATTGATTCTTTTGTTTCTGTTTCTCTTCTCCAGTGGAAGATTGGAAAATTATATTTTGAATTTGACACCGAGCCGTATGCCCAGTCTAGAGATAATAAAGTCAAGGTGACATTTTTTTTTCGGGAATTTACATACACAGCAGCTTATTCTTATTATCTCACACCAAAAGTCTCATTTTTACAATCACAGCATCCAACTCAAACTTATCAACAGTATGGAACAGTGAAATCCACATTTTCATGCTTAGGTAAGGTGCTGCTGTGTTTGTAAAAATTAAAATTTTGGTGTGAGATACGTAATTGAATAAGAAATGGTTGCTTTGTAAATCTCCGTTTTTTTCTTAACTTCTTTCCTTTTTAGCGCATTAGTTCTGAAATAAGAAAACCAAAGCAAACTTGGGAATTATCTTCTTGTGCAATTTTAGGAAAAAATTTATTGTTTTATAACTCATTTGTTTGTGAATCAGTTTATGATCTTGGTTTTACTAGGACATAGCTTCTGCATCAGGGATCCAAGTTTTTTCTCCAGTCAGTCATACACTCTTTGATCCCAAGGAAATCATACGGAAGGTAGTTTTATTGTTCTCTCTGGTTTAAATAATTATCAATCCCTTATATATATTTATGTTTCTTAAACTTGTAAAATATTTATAATTATTTGGATAATATATGGTTACAAAAAATAGAATGGTGGAAAGGCGCCTTTGACATACAAGTCATTTGTAGCTATTGCTGGCAAGCCGTCAGCACCTCTATGTTCAATCTACTCCTTGCTTCCTCCTATTGGCGATGTTGCAGGGTACAAATTTCATGGAGTTCCATCCATTCATGACCTTGGTTATAAAGATGTTACACAGGTCATGCCAGCATTAATTTAATTAGTCTAAGCCTGCAGTTTATTTAGGACTCTGCTGATAGTGGCGTTTTCTATCATAAGTGTAGGAGTTCTCTCCCTTCAGGGGTGGCGAGACTGAGGCGCTTAAGAGGTTGAATGAAGCCTTGGCTAACAAGGTATGAGAAGAATTATATTGACGTTGTCCGGTACAATTTGTCTTTGTTTTGCTGAAAAATGGCACATCATTTATTGTCCCTTTAATTTTAAATTTGAGATTATTATTAAGTTGAAGACAAGTGTTTGGGCTAAGCCTGCTTAAATATTTGGGATAATGATAATGTTAATGATGTTGAGACAGCTTCTCTACTTCCACATAAGAGGCAAAGTGGGTCAAATTCTAGTTTGTGCATGTATAATTTAAGTCTAAAGATGCATCAATAATACAAATGGATATATTTATTTTCAAGACAAAAGGAGGGAAACTAATTAGACTAATGTTAACTGCTGGTTGCCGTTCTGAAATTTTAAATGTTCTAAAGTTAGAATGTATGAAATACTAGAACGTGAATGAATGGAAAAGGAAGCTTAAATCTAACACAAACTAAATACGATAAGCCTAATGATGATGATGATGTCCAATTTTCCATTTATATGATAAGACCTTTTCAAAGGCAAAAAGCAAGAGTTAGAATCTTAACCAAATATATTATAGTCCTTACAATCATTTGGGGTATTTTGTTAATTTAAGCTTCATTAGCGGTTATATATGCAGCATTTTGGCCTCAAATAGAAGCTTAACCTTACTGAACAACTGAACATTCCCCTTAGCTCAATTTTGCATCAAAATGGTTGACTCAGTGCTGTTAAGTAGTTCAATTTTCTAATGAAGGGCCTCAACAGAGAAATTATAGTTGCCCTACAATGGCTTCTGATATTATTTCAGTCTAAACAAATTGGCCCTAGTATTTTGAAAACTAATTATTTTTCAAAACTAATCAGTTTTCATTTTTGTCAACATTTTCGTCTGATCAAATTGTATTTGCACAAAAATTATATTTTTGGCGGAAAACCTTAATGATCTAGTAAACTATTGTGTGTTTCATTGCGGATTGGATAATTCATAGGGCTGAAAAATCATTTTTTTCTTGATTTTATAGAAACAATTTATGTTTCAGAAATTTTGTTCTTTCCTTTTCTTAGCAAGTTTTTGAGAAGTACTAATATATGAGTGTATGATTGGAGTTTTTTTAAGGTGTTTAAAACAAATTTTTGTTTTGCTGTAACTTGAGTTTCTTTTTCTTCTATTCAATTGGTGCTTCTTTATGATAATAACTCTTCTATGTTATTCATTATAGTTTTTATTAGTTTTCGTGTTTTTTTTCTATTTCATCCAAGTTTTAGGCTCTTCAATTCTCAAGCATGTTGCTGATACCTATATTTAGCATATGGAATTTTCATTTTTATAGTTTAATGGCATTTTTAAAACTAAATAAAACTATTATTAGTTGGAAGAGGGTTAGTGATAATCAAGATGATGATAATGACTAGAAGATTCTAATGAGTTAAGATTGAGCGATTCTTTATTGACCTTATTTATTGTATCGTTTAGTTACTAGTTAATTCACTTATATCTTGCAGAAATGGGTGGCAGAATTTGAAAAACCAAAGGGTAATCCTTCTGAATTTATAATGCCAGCAACAACTGTACTTTCTCCATACCTAAAAGTAATTCTATAGCCCAAATATTTTTCACATTATTCATCACTTATGCTTTTGTTATTAGTTTCTTGCTCAAAAACATGTTGGTTTCTGTTTAACAACCTAGGCTTATCACTTTTATTTGTTGGATTTTTGTAGTTTGGATGTCTTTCTTCGAGATACTTTTTTCAGCGTGTTGATGATGTTTATAAGACAGTCAAAAAGCACACACTACCTCCAGTCTCACTTGCTGGGCAGGTCAACTCTTGTATTCTTTGGGATTTTTTTTTTGTTTGCTGTAAAATATTTAAACTAAGCAAATCTAACCTATGACAGTTATTTTGGCGTGATTTTTTCTATGTCGCGGCTTTTGGCACTCCTAATTTTGATAAAATGCATGGAAACAAAATTTGCAAACAGGTTAGCCCAACCAGTTGCTTTAGTTATGTTGCAATTTATCTCATTTTTAATTTAATTATTAATCATCGACATTTTGCTACAATTAACTCGCTGAAATTGTTGTTAAAGCATGCATTTTATTAATTTTATAGATTCCATGGAGAGATGATGAAAAGTTGTTTGAAGCATGGAGAGATGGTCATACAGGCTATCCATGGATTGATGCCATAATGATTCAGGTTTCTTCATCTCATCTACCCATTTTGGCATAATTTCATAACAAAGATTGTTTGATTTGGAAAATTAATGTTACTTGCATTATCTTAGTACTATAATCAACGCCATTCTAAACTAGTTTTCATTTTTTCACTATTGTAGCTGAAGAAGTGGGGATGGATGCACCATTTAGCTCGCCATTCAGTTGCATGCTTTTTGACTCGGGGTGATCTAGTATGTATCTTCAACCTAACAATTATGATAGTTATCCTTTTGTTTTTTGTTGAAGTTTGGATATTTGGACCTTAAAAATCTACTTTTGTTTATTTTACTTTTTTATGTGAAATTTTATTCTGAATCGGTATGGCCTGGGTTTAGCTCTCTGGATAGGGGCTAATTGAGGTTTGGAGCTTT